AGAGTTCGCAGGTAGTAACCTGCTGGCGATGGCAGATTGTTCAGAAGTCAGTTCTCGCTATAATATCTGCAAGTTTGGGAGGATTTTAAGCAAATGGCTAAAAATCAACCTGCACATACATCCAAACAATGTAATATTACCACTATTACCATATATTACTACTAAACGAAGGACATAAATGTCGAACGTTAGATTTTTGGATTGTGCTTTTTCTACTTGTAAGGTTTTGCGTTGCAAAKGCCACAGTCTAAGTGTGAGCTATGTGAATATTTCAACATTTATTGCCTATAGCTAGACCACAACGATAACAGCTAATGACGACTAAGTAAAAAAAACGATTTTAAAATCATGGAAATAATTGTAATTCTGAGCTTAAGGGACCGTGCAATGTTTACTAGGAGGGAAATTTGGTAGGAAATAATTAAAACAATCAAAAAAGTTAATTACTAGTTAATAACTATAATAACTAACCCCCCCTCTCTCCCTTACAAACGAAATAAATAACTCTCCGCTCCCTCAACCTTCCATGAATTTATTTCTTTATCATTCGTGAATAAAGAGTTACTAAAATAGATATCAAATCAAATTCAAGATTGACACTGAAAATAAATTTTATGTCTTTACAGGTCAATAAAGTTAATGGATTGACTGTAAACTAGAAAACTTCATTTAGACAAATGTCAATCCTGCAGGCGTTAAAAAAAGCGGAGAACTAAGAACATTTTTAATGATTTGAAAAGTCAAAGCGACAWAGAAACGATTTCCTCCCGTGTCAAACAGGCTATTAATAGTATTGCAGAAAGTAGGRGAGCCTAGCGCTGCAAAGCATCTTTGTCTGGACAGTTTACCTCATCTGATATCCTTAGAAAGACTTAATCTCACAGCGTAAATCAAATCGACTTATTTCCGTGATGATTGAGACTGCAACCACAAAGATACACCGCTGAAAATCAAACAGAGAAAGTCAACACAGACCGAAGAGTTTGCGTGGTGCGAGTGATCAAGCATAGAATCAAAGACATCGCTTCAACGTTTTTTTTTTAGGCGTGGCTCAGTGTGGTCATCCATTCGTCGGCATTCTTGAGTTATTCGCAGGTACATATTTGTATTTAATATGCATTCCCTCATGCAAATTTTGTTTATGATTCTCTTATTTATTGCCGACATTACTCAGTGAACGAAAACAGAAGTGAAAAGAAAGCAAAAATAAATCTAGAATTCCAACAAGAAAAAAAAAAACGAGCCAAAACAAACCAAAGCAACAACAACAAAAAACGCGYGYACAACATATACAACTCTAGAAAAACAACAGCAACAGAATCAAAAATGATATCAATTTTCGTTAAAAGTATGCGCAAACACTGGAAAGCATAAATTAAAACATTCGTAAATTGTACTGAATTATCATGCGAMTTTTCCAGTTTTTTTTATGGTCTAATTAATSTACATTATATTRTGCCATAAAACACGTTTTAGTTGCAAACTTTTCATCAATTAGTGTTTTCATTCTAACCGTAGCCATACCTAGGTGGCCCTCAATAGCTTAACCCTATAAGAACGTCAGTATGCTAGTCCCATAGCGTGACAATCGGATTTACTCTCCAATCCTGTTGTAGTTTGCCGCATTTCGACAACGATGGTTACCAAAAATGCACGCAACTGTTCACTGACAAAAACTTCATGGAAATTGGTCTGTTAAGGAAGTTATGAAGCGATGCAACATGGAGGAGAACAGGACAGGACGACAAAAGGTAATTATCGACAAGAATTTATGCAAACGGCTCTAAATTGTGATAGTTTTCCGATCATTGATTTGAAAGTCTATCTAGCTTACATTCACTGGCCGTCAGATTAAGAGTTCGCTGCTGATAGGCTTTTCCWTATAAAAATGTTAAATATTTATTGATGTGGTCACATTTGGTATTTYACTAGCACTGAAAGAAGTTTAATTATAAAAAGAACAGGAGGAACAATTAAAGRGTAACTCATAAATCCTTCGTTTCCAAAAAAAAATTGTTTTTTTAACTTTAGGTTACCATGTTATTTTATGGAGTCTTGCATAASCTTCAATGTCGCTCCAGTCGATTGTCACAAACACTAAAAAAGCGCTAAATAACCAAACCGTGCTAGAGTGATCGCACTTAATCCGTGCAACTGTACAAACTAAATAGTTCCTTTTTAGCTGTATTTAGTAAATCGTGCACGCGGCACGCAAATTAAATTGAATGGACACAAATGAAGCATTCAATACCGTCTTGCTTCAGGTCCACTTTTARTACAAATTAGTACTACTTAGATTTTGTACAGTTGCACGCTTTAAGTGCSATCACTCTAAACATTAGAGTGGTTTTCATTAACCCGTGAAACACCCTTTAGCGTATTTATCGCTACATGTATTACACTTTGGCTCTTTTGTTTTTTATTGTCTCTACGCGACTATTACRATCTATWACACTCTAATTATTACWCTTTGTTTCACGGGCTTATGAAAACCACTCTATTAGACTATGAGTGCTTTCATAAAAAGCGTGAAACACTAATTACAAAGTTGTGCAAAAAGTGCTATTGAACAAAAGAATTTACATAAAATAGCACAAAATAGCATTAAGATGTTTTCCTCTTTTGGAGTTATCGCACTTAAACCGTGCAACTAGTGTACAAAATCGTACTATATAAAGTAGTATTAATTTGTACTAAAGGTTGACCTGAAACAAGACTGAATGCTTCATTTGTATCAATTTAATTTAATTTGCGTCCTAATTCACTGGAAATGCGTCCATTATCATCTAATCTACACTATATATTGCGATATTTAGCATTTTGGTCAGTACCTTTTCATGCTTTTATAGTTTTTACGCTGTAAAAGAATGCAATTAATAGCGTAGAATTGGACTGCAATACAGTTAATATAAAATATATACATAGTGAACAAAAAATTCAATATTTTAATATTCAAAAATCTAACCCGTATAGTTTTGTTACGCCATTAATTCCTAATCAGTAGAGCCATTTCTAGACGCATGGGATGAGGTCATTCTACGCTTTCTCGTCAGTTAGCTCATGCAAACTATCTCCTATATGTGCATGGATATCATGGTGTAAAATGAATACATAAAGCGTTAATGTCCATAATATAATCGCACTTGTTATCCACTAATACGTTTAGATCTTTTTCCAAAATGGCCGTGGTAATTGGCGTAATTTTTTCAAAATGTTGRACAAAATGACCCCCGAGATGCTTATATGGTCCCTKGGAAGTTTTGTTGGAACACTGGTAAGTTCCTCTAAAATCCGCAGAGACATGCCTTTTTATAATCTGCTTGTCATACAGAAATATGTATGTCTGCAGACATGCCATACACGACCCAAAAATAGATTTCCCTGTAAAAATAACTCACTGAGAGAATTTCTTTCAAAACTCAGGAGCATAGCAGTTGATCTACTCCCTAAATATGCACTAATTTTGAACATATTTTCTCTGGCCATTTTATAAATTATCGCTTAAAAAGTAAACGACACAAGAAAAAAAATCTAATCGACAAAGAAAAGGGACGAACTTGTGGAATTAGTCTACAAAACATCAGACCCGAGTAAAAATATCGAGCAAGGCTTTTAACCTTCTCATGGAAAAATACTGAGAAACACAGAACAAAAAAAAAAAAAAATTCAACAACAAATAATACAGAGTTTGGAGGAAAAACAAATTGCTGTTTAAGGAAAGTTCTCCATTTCTAGTTCTCTACCTCCACCCATCCCCAAATCAAAAATCAAATGRCCCGTCCCTTACATGGTCTTGGTATCAAAATTTATTTGACATTGATCAATTAACAATGACGGTGCGTCAAAGACCGATAYCCAGTCGATTCGCGGTAATGCATTTTAAATAGCATATAATGTCGATGACATTTTCTTTTGGCAATWTTAATAGACTGGAACATTAATTCAGCAGATCACTCCAGATATTTATTATTTCCGTAAAAAAGGGATAATTTAAATAAGTACCGATTGAGTCTCTATCTATGAGGTAGGACTTAACGAACTATATAAAACCCAACAAAACAAGACTTTATACTATTAAGATCATTACACATTTTGATTGCAAATCCATATATTTCGATCGAAAAGTAACCTTTCCTTCATAAATAGTTCAATACAAAGACACGAAGCAATTGCGACAAGAATACTCAGAAGATTTATTTTTAAAGAATTCTACTTTATTTTTCACGTGAGTAGAAATATTCGAGTTTCTTACTCCAGGTGATGTATAGGGAAATATGCAGACCACCATCTTTGAATTTCTCTACTCAGTCATGATGTCACTTCCTATCTTTAGCGTGATCTCACTTGTATTTCACATTGGTATGTGCCTCGTGGATGTACATTGTACAAAGGAACAGCATCCACGCATACCACAGACATTTGTAATCGACTGTAAAGGATATCAGATCAACATGTAAAAAACTCTCTGTACCTGAGGTTATGATYAGGRAAAGAAAGACGATRACRTGTTGATCAGTGCTTGACCCGGCTCCATCTGTGATGGTTTCATTATGCTGAGCATGACATTCARTAATYATATMACAATCGGTAAAGCAAAAAATCTTGYACGATCTAAAAGTTACGTAGCTATTTTCCAGTTGCAAAATATTCAAGTATTCCCGAGTAAAAATCAAACGAAAGTTAAACAAGATCATAGTCTGTGTTTACTCGATGTACAGTTTTTTTTAAGTAACCGTTTTGGTTTGATATTGTGGATTTAGTATTAGCATCACGTATTAATTTAGGATTTGACAGTCATGTCGAACTGACTTTCTTTGATTGTTTTTCTTTCGTCAATCCGTCGATATTGATGATTTTCTATTATTCCCATGAGTTTCAAACAACAAAAGAACGTCGGCCATGTTGGAGGAATGAACAACAGATACTAATGAGGAATCCTTTGATGCAAAGCTTCTCCAAGATGGCCGCTGTGACGTATAGTGAAAACCACCAATATATGTAACTATATTCAGTGTGGTCATTTTAACTACGGTGTGGTCCTCGATACGGCCGCCATCTTGAATGCCAATGACATAACTGCCGCAAGGAATCATGGGAYGMACCTTTGGCATGTTTAATCAWTTTTAATGGCTGGAGGCATATATTGTGTCAATAGTTTTTTCTAGAAAAAGTATTTTTTCCTACACATGACAAGACTGCACATTAAGAAAGYCAAGAACCAATTCAAATATCACGATATAAAATATAGCTGTCTCACCGCATTTGTTCATATCTGTCATCCGAGATTTGATTTCTCTCCCACCATAAGACCATAAGTCATGCTAACCGTATAAAAAAGATTAACGGAGCTAAGACCAGGCCCCTCAAGAGCGAATAGCAGGGGTGAAATCTTGAATGAAAGGAACCAGACTTTTAAGTATGGCTTATCTGACGTAATACCTACAGCTTTATCGGCGATTATCGCGTTATTGGTGCTTATAACAGCCAAAMAGGAATGCCTTTACTCTCTCACGCTATTTACGTAGGCAAAAGTCTGARGAACARTAGAAAAGRCACTGAAAAGGAAATCTGATCGAGTGCTCGAATAAAGAGGTTTAGTTTATTACTATTAAGTTTTTGCAGAATATTTAAGTATTAAGCCACTTTAGAATTCTAATAATCGAACTATATCATTATTCTGCATACAAGAATATTGGATTTTCATATGAATCATTTTAGAAAATATTGGCAGATATTATATTATGATTCTGCACTGCCTGTTTCTGATCGTTCACGCAGTTTTGATGCTTGTATTTCATGGAGTACTTCTTGAAAACCTTATATCGGTTATTGCCAATTCCATTTGATTCAGAGAGTTCTATCGGGGTGCTAGTTATGTCGTTTTTAATGTTGAGGAAATAAAATATTATTAGTAAAGCATTCCTTAGGTGTAACGCTCTAACCGCTGACTGGCTTGTACAATTCAAGTTTATGAGTGAGAGATGGTAGTGCGCCAGCCGCTATTGAAACGATAAAAGCTACAATGGAGCGGACATAGAGCCAACTAAAAAGATTACATAACAACTGTTTTATATCTGGACTCTATASCTTAGTCCATGCATGCCCTAATAGTCACTTTAACCATTAAATTTAACAAATAATGTAATAGTCACCTTGATTTCGAACAATTTRTAAGCAAAATACGAAAACTTTACTCAAAATGTAACAAACATATCTATTGTAAAATAGTGACATTGCTTTTAATTTCAATTAAATCTTATTTAGGCGTCATGCACGGAATTTTCAAAAAAATGTGTTGCCAAGAATGAACAATCGTTGCTAAGACAACGCTAGCTAATCAAGCTGAAGTTGGCATGGCTTAAAACTTTATATAAACGCTTCTACAACTGACCCAAAAATCATGAMTATATGGGACTGGCTAATGAGAGGAATGGTAGTGAAAACAACTGCATCGCACCAATCATTTTTCGAATTCCAGCGAGAGAAATTTGTCTTTTTTAAAGGTCAATGCCACGCTTTACTCGGCTCGCGAAAAACTAAAARGTATCGATTGCAGATCGTTAAGTCACGCGAACATCCTATAGCAAATTGCGGTATTAATGGTATTATTTTATAATCAAATAATTAAACGCTGGATTAATGTATAGACGTGATAATGAATTAATAAAAGTTAGCGGATTAACAGCTAATCAATCACTCAACTAAACAATTAATTAATTGACATCATAATTACTTTTATAACACCCTAATT